AAGGAGGATGGGAGGAGGAAAGGTTAGTGTGTGGGGATGACTGGGGCGCTGCCGGGGAGACTGGACGAGCTCAGATCAACAGGACACCGACAGTGTCCTAAAACATCCCAAAAAGGGATGCCAAGGTTCACCAGTTAGGGCTCTTTTCAACCCAAAATTACAGATATCAGGTGTGGTTTCCTAACCATTAATTATAAGCACGAGCTTCTCGGTCAAAAGCTATGCAGATACTGCACGCACAGCAGATATACATGACCCTGCGTACCCGGTATGTGCAAATGCTGTTAAAATGTTTCCCTTTTCAGCACATTTCCAGCAAGACTTTCAAAATTTAGTCAAGTTAGAGGGTTTCTTCTTGAAGGCAAATTGTTACTACCAAAGATTTCAGCTTAAAAAATAGCCCACACCCATTAGCATCTTCTGCCTCTCTTCTGGAGAAAAGTTAATTTGCACAGGGAAAGGAGCCAACGCAATTAAATTAAGTTGTAGCAGAACTTGGAGCCCAAGCCCAGGACAGGGAGATTTATGAGGCTGGAGACTTTACGTCATCCCACTTGAAATCAGAACTGGGACTGAAGATCAAACGGCACCTCAGCCGAACCAGCCCGTGGAGATCCAGGGAGATGGAAACCGGAGGGGTAAAGCACATTTCTGGCCGTGGTGGCATCTCTGGTGGCCGCCCCTATGCCAAAACCCCGAGTTTCTAAGCGAAGTGCTGATGAAGGCGTTTGGTAAAGATAAAAATCTCTCTTCTTCTAACCAAGCTCAGCTGTGCCGGTTCTTCTCCCAGTAAAATATGTTATTTGCTTGATTACTCAGTGCCCGGTGTCTTCACTGTTGTCACAAAGAGTCACCAGCTTCACATGTCACCCAGACCATGGGGTTGGTTTCAGAAAAAGAGAAAATAAGAGCTCTAAGGGGAAGGAGGGGAGGGAATTCCAGCTCGGGGATGCTCAGCATCCCAGTGAGTGCACCGGCAGAGCAGCTCCTGCCCAGCACTCCTCTATTTCTCAAAATTTCTTAAAAAAAGCCTTTAAGGTTGCTTGGCAACAGGCGGATCCCAGCGGTGCCAGCGGCAGCTCCAGCCGGGCCAGGGAAGCTCATGGCACGGTCACGGTGCAGCCCATCCCCAATCCTTCTTCGATTCGCCCAAAAATGGTCCCCAGGGTCGTTGATGCTGAAGGTGACACAGAGCATCATCTACCAGGGCAGGATGTCGAACATAGGAAGTTCCATCTTAACATGAGGAGGAACTTCTTTACTTTGAGGATGGCAGAGCAGTGGCAGAGGCTGCCCAGAGAGGTGGGGGAGTCTCCCCCTCTGGAGCCATCCCAAACCCGCCTGGACGCCGTCCTGTGCCACTGCTGGAGGTGCCCCTGCTCTGGCAGGGGGTGGGATGGGGGAGCTCCAGAGGGCCCTTCCAACCCTGACCAGTCTGGGATTCTGTGATTCTGTGATACAGCTGCGACTGCTGCAACGACACCATGTGCAGGGCTGATTTCTTCCTCCCCTCCTGGAGGGGTCTCGGAGGAGGATGAAAGCTCTCGTGTGATGCTCTCCTTGTTGGGAGAAGCTGCCAAAAACAAAAGCTCCGTGTGATTCAGGTGACTGGTTGTGTGCAGGGCTGCCCAGAGTTACAGCGAGCGCCGGCCACGCATGTGCCGCATCCGTGGGCTGGTGGAGAGCGTGGCAGTCCCCACCACCCCCGCCCAGGAGCACGGCCAGATCTGTGCTTTGAGGGGAACGGTGCACGGGATGCCGGGCTGATGCTGTCCTGGAGCCTGGCCACCATCAGAGAGAGGACAGCAGTTGGGCAGGTAGCGATAGGATGAGGGGGAATGGCTCTAAACTGGAAGAGGGCAGGTTTAGATTAAACATTGGGAAGAAGTTTTTCCCTGTGAGGGTGGTGAGGCACTGGCACAGGTTGCCCAGAGAGGTTGTGGAGGCCCCATCCCTGGAGGTGTTCAAGGCCAGGCTGGAGGTGGCCTTGGGCAACCTGGGCTGGTGGGAGGTGTCCCTGCCCATGGCAGGGGGGGTGGAACTCGCTGATCTTCAAGGTCCCTTCCAACCTAAACCATTCTCCGATTCTATGAATCCGGCAGCTGTTCTAGTGCCATGCTGCTGTCAGATGAGATCTGGGTTATTTGCTTTCTGCATCTGCAGTCAATCCGTCGTACAGCCCCAGTGCACGGTGGTAAGCAAGGTCCCTCTTCCAGATCATGTTTAGCATCACTTGAGGCATCAAGGGAAGCAGAAGAGGGCAGAGAAGCAGCATCTGTGACCCTCTGGACCCCAAGCTCCCAAAATGGCTCCCGGTGAGGTCTGTGGTGTTTTGCCGTCGGCGATTTCAGCAAGGCGAGGTGGGACTGTCGCTTCTGCAGCTCTTCTCCTGGTACGCCGCCTGTGCTCCCATCCTCGTGGAAATTAAACCTCGCCCAGTGCCAGGGGAGCCTGAGCCACCATCACCGCTCAGGCAAGGGATGCCGCCTCCTCCGACTGCCTCCCCGGGAGCCGGGATGGACAGAAAAGTCTTTCTTTTGTCTGAAACTACCGACGTGAAAAAAGAGAGAAGAACAAGCACAGTTTGGAAGCTCGCTGCTTGTGAAAAGCTGCTGGCGAACAACGATGCTCGAGCTCCACCCTGCAACCCCTTTTCTCCCGTGGGACTCCCTGGAAAGCCTTAGCGTAACCTGGAGAAGGTGGAGAGGAGCGGATGCCCGCGGCCGTACATACCTGTGTCGGGTGGGAAGGGGTTTGGTGCGGTCACCGTGCCCCTGCCCTGCTGGGACGGCCCCCGGGCGTGCGGGCTGCTGCCGTTGCTCGCAGGACAAGGAACCGGCCTCAGCTGCGCTGGTTCCAGCGGGTCGCAGAACTCAAAGGGGGTCCGACCAGCCTGCACACCCTGCCCGCTGTTCATCGCTGGAGATTCATTAAATTATAAAAGAAAAAAAAAAAAAGAAAAGAAACAAATGCACAAGTCAGATGTCTCCCCAAAGCTCGTTGCAAAGACACCAGCGCTCGGCAGATTCCTCGCCCCGCCAGGAGCGGAGCCGGCGTCGGTAAGTTTGGAGGGCAAGAAGGGGCTCGTGGTGTGACATCACCTCGCCTAAAGCTGAAAGCTCGGTCCCATGTGTGGCTCGGTTACCCGCAGCCACCCCTGGGGAAGCACCCCCAGTGTCACACGCTGTGGGTGATGGTGACAACAGCTCCTGCAGCTCCTGCGTGCTGTGCCAGGAGCACAGGGCTGGTACCCAAAAGCCAGTAGCGGGAGCTTAAAATAGGCATAGAATCACAGAATGGTTTAGGTTGGAAGGGACCTTGAAGACCATCGAGTTCCACCCCCCCTGCCATGGGCAGGGACACCTCCCACCAGCCCAGGTTGCCCAAGGCCACCTCCAGCCTGGCCTTGAACACCTCCAGGGATGGGGCCTCAACAACCTCTCTGGGCAACCTGTGCCAGTGCCTCACCACCCTCACAGGGAAAAACTTCTGCCTCATGTTTAATCTAAACCTGCCCTCTTCCAGTTTAGAGCCATTCCCCCTCGTCCTGTCACTCCATGCCCCAGTAAAAAGTCCCTCCCCAGCTCTCCTGGAGCCCCTTTAGGCACTGGAAGGCGGCAATAAGATCTCCCCGGAGCCTTCTCTTCTCCAGGCTGAGATCAGCTTGGCATAAAAATAATCAACTGGATATAAGACAGGCGGGGCTGATGGGGGTTGCGTCCAACTAATGTATAGCGAGAGGTTCTGAACGCTGCTAAAAGGAGGGCATCGGGACCGGAGTGAATTACAGCAGCTGAAGCGCAGCTCCCTTCCTCGCTGTAGCCACACCAACCAGGCTCTGCTCCCCTCCGGGGGGGACCCCGGCGCCGCAGCCGTGCGCCCCTTACGCCGGGCAGCGGGAGGAGACCCTCAGCAGCGATGCCGCCCGCGCCGCCTTCCTGCCTGCGCAGCTCTCATCTATCACCTGCTGGCTTTAAATCAATTAAAACGATGTCGTTAGGCCCTCGCATTATTCTAATTTTTATTTAGAGAGGGTTTTTTGGGTTTTTTTTCAAATTCAGCTGCGCTTTGCCATCAGGCAGCACGTCTCAAACGCTCAGGCTGAACTGAAAAATGAAGGTAAGAGGCAAGCCCTGCAAGCCGGTGGCCACCAGCTGTGGCTGTCGGCAAACCCCTCTCCCGGCCACCAGCACCTCTAAATCCTCGGGGATCGGCTTAGGGGTGCACGGCTGCCGCCCTGCACCAGTTAAACCTGACGGCAGCGCCTTCAGCGAAGCTCGTGGTGGATCTCCTCGGTGGTACCGGCTATTTTAGACGCCGTAACTCAGCAGGGCAGCAGTTGGCATCTGAAGGACTCGCACTGCAGCTCCTGCCGCAACCGTGCTGGCCCTCCTCCCCGCTCTGACTTGGATGCGGGATTCCCTTCCCTCTGAAGGCAATAAGCCCCACTCTTAATGATGTCGGAGCATTACGAGCGTCCCCACCGCTGACGGTACGAACCATCTCAGCCCTGGGGCAAGAGGGTCCTTGGCAAGGAACCATTTGGCTGGAGGGATAAGCTCCTGCGCGATGAATTCAGCACGCAGGCGATGGGTCAACCAGTCCACGGCTACAGCTACGGGGCTGACGGCTCCTTTTCACCTCCCAGACGTTTGCCCGACGGAGGGGAGGCGCAGCGCAGCTCCCCGCTGCCTCCGGGCTCAACGCAGCCATCCCTCATCGCCCTTCCAGCATCCCTCTCTCACGCCCTACTCCGTACATCTTCCGTTAGCTGATACTCCAATCGATGAGACCCCAAACTCTTCCTCTATGATTTATCGCAGGCAAGGCGACGTTTCAGCCCACAGCACTGCTCCAGAGCCCACCTGCAGCTTCCAGAGGGGTTTTTTAGGGAGACCTGAAAGCCATTGCTCGGTGAAACGATGCTGCACCGCCCTCGGAGGGTCCCCCCTGAGAGCCCGCTGCAAACCCAGCCTCCCAGGGGGGCTTCACCCCGCTTCACGACACCGTTTTGGCCCCGCTCACACCACCGCGTTTGCTTTCCCTTCTGCTACGATGCTCCTACCCTTTTAAAGGCTCCGCTTCTGCAACCCGAGTCCTCCGAAAATATCCCAGCCCTGCCTGCCTGAGCCGCCTCGCCGGCTTCTTGCTGGGCTGGGACCCAAAACCTCCTCATCTCCATTTGCTGAATAAGTAACAGGAGGATTTTCCTCCTGGACAGCAGGACGTGGACCAGCAGCTCACTGGTTTATACTGGGCCCCGTCCTGCCACTCACTCTTCCTTCCCTCTGCTCTGAAAGCCGCACTTCGGCATTCAAAACTCAGCGTGATTTGCAGCGGCGGCGATCCGGGGATGCGACAGATAATTATATCCATGAAAAATCAAGTGTGGGATAGGAAAAGCCCCCTGGGGCTGGGATCGGCTCCGGCAGGATGCCGCGGTACCAAACGGGGCTTGGGGCCGGCAGGGGACATCCAGCACGGCAAACACACAGCGTGGGCTCCGACCGAGCGCGCCACCACGGCGGGAGCCGCCGGGAGCAGTTATTTGGGCACATTTATGCTGTGATTGGTAAAAGCTTGTTTTCCCCGCGGCAGCTGCGGGCAGTTTGCGGGGAATAGCTGTGCCTCTGCTATCACCCAGCCCGGGGAAGCCCATCCCGAGCAGCCCCAGTTTGAGCCTCCGGCCACGGGGTCCACGTATGCCTTTGCTGTGTAACACTCGGAATTTATTATTTGCCCGTAGGCTCCTTCAGGAGAAAAATCCTTATTTTTACTTCGGTAAAACTCCTCACTTTGGAGAAAAATCGTGTCTTTTCATTATTTTTTTTTTTTTTGGATGCCTAGAAAAGGGTCCTTGATGCGACACCTGAGCCTATCAAGTCTCAAACCCCTGTCCGAAAACGCCAGCGATGCTTTGAAACCTCAAACACCTCCGGCTGAGCCTGCACGCTCCTTTGCCACCACGCACAAGTCTCGCAGGGACTGTATCCTGTCCTCTTACTCACGTCCCGGCTGTCTGCAGGGCAACCACGGGGCTCACCACCACCAGACCCCAGATCCCAGGTCCACCACCGCCGCCGGATCCAGGATGGTGGTACCCCAGTAGAGCCGGTGATGGAGGAGACCCTGCCCTCCCACCCCCGGGTGAAGACCTGGTTTGGGGGGTGAGCGCCGGCGTTCCCCAGGGGTGGACACGTACGGTTGAGTCCCGCGGGGGCTCTGGCAGCGGTGCTGGGTTGCAGGGGGGCTGCCAACATCTCCGGTTTGACGGTGACACCGGCCACGCCGCTCTCGCTTCTCTCCGGTCCGCACAAACCGGGCAGCTGAGCCGCCTTCTCCAGCGAGGGCAGGAGCTGGTCCAGTTGCTCCAGTTCGGCAGCGAACTAAGGAAGGAAACGAAAAAAAAAAATCACGTGCGGGTGATTCAGCCCAACCACAGCATCAGCGAGACCGAGCGCTGCTCTCCCATGCACGCAGCCCCCCCCAACCCCCGACGCTGCTCCCCCCATCCCTTCGCCTGCCGAAACACCGAGCGCCTCGGGCGGATAGAGAACCAGCCCCGCATCCCTCCGCCCGGCCAGATGGGGACCCTGCGGGGGACAAGGACCGTCCCCATCAGCACACAGGTCCCCGGCCCAAAGCTTGGTCCTCGGTGACAGCTTTGAGATGCTCACGCGCTGCAATTAGCATAATTATTAACGGTATATATGACCTCCAGCTATTTAACATGGGAGATAATTTGCTTTGTTAATATACATATGCTTATGCTGAAATTATAATAATAATAAAAAAAATGGTCTGTTCTAAAAACCAGAAGTGACTCTTTGGAACAAGTGGCCAAAACCGACGCCGGCCTCGGGCATGTAATTACCCTCACTGGGGTAGTAAAATACCAGTCAGCTTTTCCAGTCTTCATCAGCGCTAAGAGTGGAAGAGGAGACGTTTAGCCCGGGGACTCGAATAAATGGGAAAGTTACTGGGAAAAGGATTTGCACCAGTGGCCGTAATAGCGGCGCTGTAAAGCAGCAGGTTGGGATTAAAGGGGCCGAGATAAATGAGCTCTGGCTAAAAAGAAAAAAATATCTCAAGGGAAACCAAATGTGTTAAAATCGAAGGACGCGCATCGCTTCCAGAAGAGCCCCCCCTCGGCGTCAGGGAAAGCCTGGCCATTAACATGGGGTAATTAATAGAAAACTTGATAGCACTAAGGAAAACCTTTGCATTTCATAGAGGGAATAAAGCTCCGGTCTGGATAAGGTGAAGAAACGAGGCAGGAATTGGGATCCTGGCTTTGGGAAGAGGCTCTGCCATCAGCCGAGACGCGAGGCGGCAGCCGATGGGTCCTTCCCGTGATAGAGAGCTGCGGAGGTCA